TTGTTCATTATCAGGCAAGAAACAATGACTGCATTCAACAAGTTTCTGGAGCAACGATACTCATTAATGATAAGCAGTCAATAATCCGAATGGCTCAGCAGAACTAGCATATCGCTTGTTAGGCGATTGTTTCTCGGAACAGCTCTCATCAGCGTTCATCGTGCTTTATCTACGCTCCGCACTGAAAACGTTGCTAACAGATCGATAAAGCTTATTTCAGCTCTATCCGTTTATTTATTTTCATATCTATGCATACATCTACGTATTTACATTTGTTCTATATTTCACTGCATCGATACAACGCACTACACTCACATAAATGTATCGCTGAGCAATTCAATAGTTCAATTGCAAAATGCGTTTTATTTCCGTTCCAAGCGTTCCAATCAATCATTTGTCAGCATCAATCGCGAAGTTCTTCACAGTGTATTGATTCATTCGCTGCATGCATATTCATTCGACAACTAACAGCGAAAACAAGGCTGTGTTTATTTTATCGATTTGCATGAAGATTATATTCAAAACGCTAAGCGATATTATGACGAAGGAANTTCACAATAAAAAAGCTGACAAACTTCATCTATTTGTCATTTAAAAACCACTTTCAATATCAATTTGGAGCCTCATTTCGAACTACAGGGTATACTACAAGTAATATATTGCTGAGCTACAAGTATATGCAAGTATATATATAGCGAACGACAAGTATACCCTGTAAACTTTTCGATAAATTCCCCTGATGATTTTTTGTGCATTGATCTTGGCCCAAAGTTACCAATCTTGTACCAAAAAGGTCACCGCATATTATCGATTAACATTGACATGACTCCGTAATTTATTCATTTTCTCTCAAATTCGTTCCCGGTGAAGATGCTATCCAAGGCGTTTCAAATGTTTGGCCCTTTCAAAAGAATAATTTTCAGTTTGAAATTATTAGTTTTCTTTCCCAGTCTAATTGCAGTTGAATTGTTAACTTTCATTTTCCCCTTTCGATATATGTTAACTTTTTTCGATATCTTTCCCTCGGCAATTTAGTTCTAATGAACGAATGATTACAGCGATACCTTAAAGATGTGAAACATTNTGGCGAGATAGAACGAACGGAGCGCAGTTGCATATCACTTCATAATATTCGCATTAAATTAATGAAGTTATCGCCTTGAATGATCGTCTAACTACCGAGCGACATTCAGTTAATAACCACTCACTGAGTGCATTACATCGCTCAACGACTCCGTTCGTGAACAATAATGCGAATGTCACAAAATTTACTGCAGAAATCATGAATAATTCCATCGAATTAATGATTACAGGTAATTGTGTAAGGCACCTGCACATGTCCTACCCGATATTCGCGATATGTTCTCTAATCAAACAGCAGTCATCGCAAAAACATTTCTGTTGAATGCAAGTTTCATTGTCCGATTGGAAATATCGATCTTGAGCGTGTTTAGATGCATAATGTTACTTCGTGAACATTTAGGATCAGTTGAAATTGGTTCAGTTAAAACGTCAATGAAATTGGATGCTATCATTGATTCTATTGAATTCTCCTCTTACAAATTAACGAATCCTGTTCATGTGTTAGAATTGCTGAACCACTTCGATATTTCGGTGAAAACAAGATTGTTTTTGATTTTTGCTATAGAGATGAAGATTTAAATAGTAATCGTAGACAAGTAAGTGATCGTTGCTGAGAGTGTCAATGAGAGAGAGCTGGACACTTTCTTATGCACAATTTGTGGTGTGCTAATCGTCAGTTGTTACAACAACGCATTTCGGTTATTTTCAAAAGTAAACATCAGTTTCTTAACCAAAACAATCGTTCAAATCCTTANCAAAGAAGACGTGGAAAGCGTCGAATTCATAAGCTGTTTATAGTTTTGATGCGGAATGTTAGAAGTGTTTGCAGCTGTGCACGAAGCATGCTGATTTTTCATGAATCTATCGATTTATTTAGTTTTTCCTTACTCAGAGAATATTACATTCCATTATCCAGAGAGCAATATTGGATGTGTTCGCCAGAAACGTCGGCCTTGTTCAAGTAATCTTCCTCATTAAGCACACTTTTGCTATTCAATCAAGTCGATTTTTATTTATTCTCATCGTTTATTGCTGCATGAAGTCAAAACTATTGTACATAAATTCTTTCAAATCGGTAATATTTTTGTCAACCAATATTGTTATCTTTGGTTCATTTGGAAATGACAGCGTGTGTCATTTAGAATGATTTATGAGATTTCTTCGATTCATTGATCAGTTCTTGTTTTGATTCATCTGAGTTGCATTTTTTCCCACTGTTTTCCAGTTGTTTTCTTCGATAATCGTACAAAATAATTTCGGCCACTTACACAGTTTGAAACTCATTGTTTTTTTTTGGTAAACTCACACAAGGCGAGTGATTGTAGAAAACGAAATTTTTCGGTATCACGAAAACGAAAACTCTTTGAAAATCAAACAATATTCCGAAACCTATGAAATGTCCAAAGAATATAAGAGTTTTCTATTTGAAATGAAGACTTCCAACTCAGAAATGATTCCTGGGTTTATTGCTTTTCAGGTGAATATAGAATTTCCTTCTTAATGATCAATCACGTTTGTAGTTTAATCAAGCGACGGTCACCTTTTACAAATGAAACAAGTTCAATGCTTCCGATATCGCTCAGTAAAATCTTTTTCGTTTTCGATATCACGTAATCTTATAAACATTTCCTGATACCATCTCTATTCGTTTATCATTTCATCTTTTTACACTCTGCTGATAAAATTTTTCTTTTTGAAAACACCAAATTCCACTTACTATCTTTATGTGTCGTCTCGATGCGATGCGGTTAAGTGAGTGAAGCATTCTGCGTTTCTTATTGCTAATATTCGCATTGTATCAGATTGCAAATTGATAAGTTTTTATGAAGTATCATATGACGTGAATGCCACCAATGCTCGTTGGCATTACT